ATATATAATATAAGAAGATAGGTTGCATGTCATGTCAATGCAGTGGTAAGATGTTTTATGATTTTACAAAACATGCTTCATGGACTTAGACAATTAGCGTTGAGTTCAGGTGCAGGTGGTTTTAATAGCAGTTTCTTATCATTTTATATAACAGAAAAATATTTAGAAACCATTAAAATGAGATGAGACAGCATTGATCAGGGGCAGCTAAAGCAAAGTTGTACTGTAACTCAATGACAAACCGAAAACCAATGTGCTTGACGAAAATCGACTGTGTTTGTTAACCGACTGTGCCTGAAGTCCGAGTGTGCCTGACCATCGACTCGTCAGCCTTGATTATGTCTATGCCCAATAGTTTAACTCAACGTTCTCGCATGCGCAGGAAGCTTTATGTCACGTCATTACGTTTTTGGTCTTAACCGTCGTCGCGCAATCAAAAGCTCCCTGTTGTTATGCAAATAAATGAAAATTTAATTGTCACGCAACCAAAAACTAATATACACCTGACGTGAAATTATCTGTCACACTTTATCAAAGACGTTGGTTAGACAACATCCACTGTGGTACTGTTTCATGTTGTTGTTGTATTGCAAAGGTAAGATTTTTTTTACATTAATATGTTATTCAACCAATAAATTTTCAATTATATTATGCCTATACCAATCAATAACCAATTAATTGATCACACTGTATAAACTGTTCCAGTGGCGTAAATAGGTTCTGAAGGGGCCCTGGATCGAGAGTACAGTAGGTGCCCTTGAAGAATATAAATTGGCCGACCAGGCTAACTTAGCTATATACATTTAACAAATATTACTTTAAAATAATCCATGTAAACCCATCCTATTATGAACACCATCCCGGTATTTCTGAGTCTAGGTTGCGGGGACAAAAATATGTTTTTAAGTAAATCATTGTAACATTTATTATTATTTCATACTAAAGTAATGATAGTACCATCCTGGTAATTCTTTATTTATAATTTTCAGAATTCACGTTGTGTACCGCAATATTTTTACAATGATCTGAGACAACTACATTGTTTTCTCAGATATGATCTAGATGATTTTTTTTTTGGTAGTTCCTGTAAGACAAACCATATAGTGTAACACATGCATTGATTACCGTAAGCTAATTTATTTTATGAGCTAGGACTTGAAAGCCAAAACTGATATCAGATTTGCCTGAAAATTAATCTCATAAATAAACGCCCTCCCTTCTCCAAAAAAGGAAAAAGCTGCTAAATATTTACCAACGTCTGTATAATTTTTTACCCGCTAAAAAAGCACTCTCACTTCTTAGGGTGGAGGTCGGGACGTCGCTGATCATCAGTGCGTGGGTGGACTTTTCCTATCATTCGACACTACTTCTACCCCTCCTGCTATAATACCCCTAAACATTTGGAGCCTTTATGAGGTAGACTATACACCCCGCCCCCCCAACACCAGAACCAAACCCTCCTATGCATCCGTCCCAGGAGTATGGTAATGTTCTGATAATCAGTCTGTGAAGCCCAGTCGACCAAATGCCGCAAGCATGTGATATACTCAAAAATAATATTTTAAAGATTAATATTAAATACTGCTACGTCTTTAACTATAATTTTAGAAATACCTTTACAAATTAAAAACAAAAAGCCACTAATATCGTTTATAATGTTGACAAAAGCGTGTACGATACTGATAAAGTTGATAATAATAATAAAGATTTATAAAGCGCACATCTCCACCAATGGTGCTCAAGGCGCAGATGTACTGTAGACATTCCGTATTAGTCTTATCAGTGATCAATATGATCACTTATATTATTCCGTTATATAATGAAATACGCCTTTGTAGCAGCCGCACACACTGAAGATCTGTGCACGCTTCTGTATGGTAAAAATCGTCAAAACTTTTTTGGTCCTTAGGCAAATTAGTATATGATGATATAACCCATTTTTTGGTCCTTACTCAAATAATTATTATATGATGATATAACAAATTTGTTGGTCCTTACACAAATTAGTATATTATGATATGGATTTCATCGTGTTTGTTGACACTCAATACTGTTAAGATTGAAGTAATAGAGCTAATGAATTTAAATAAAATGACCACTATTTTTGTTTTGTTTAATTAGAGAACGTCAAAATAGCAATTGAGAAAATCGAAATGTTGAGATTATCAAAGTATTTATTAATTATATTATTTGCTCTATTAACTCTACACAATATTACAAAAGAGATGATAGCATCTGAAAGGTAGAGATATTCAAATTTTAAAAATCTAGAGACAAAGCTCAATTGTAACATTTACGATTATTTTGGGTGCAAATGTTGCATTAGAATACATAGAAATAGATCAATGACCGCTATGGTTGAAAATTAAAACCGAAAACCTACTTTGCCTGCAACTACAGGTGCAAAGACATGAGAACTATATATATTTAACATAATTTGTATATTTCAGATAATTCATATCAAAAAGATATGGTCAATGTATTTTTTTTTAAATTCTATATTCTCAATACAAAAATAATATTCATGGATAAATACACAATAAATTACCGAAATGTAATTTTGTATTAATGTATTATTATTATAAACATTGTACAGTTTCAAAAACATTTATCTTTCAGCCAATCATGCACCGTCTTGACGAAACAATACTCAGTCCTTGTAAGTCCAGAAATGGTACGTTCTACGGAGACATTAAAGAGAGCATGGATGCTGTCCAATGGAAACTTGATCGGCTGAAAAACATGGAACTGTTTGTCCTGGACAATTCCTTGCGTGAGACAACTGTAGCTTCTCTTAGGGCACACACTATTGAGAACAAGCGAGCTATCTACGATGAGATCAAGAAGTGTGGGTTCAAGTACTTCATCGTTGAGTCATTCAACCACCAGGCCAGGATTGGGGATCTGTTCTTAGAGGAGCTGATTGCAAAAGGGGAAGATCTATCCAATGCCTTTGCATTTTCAGAGCTGTGGGAGACGATTGTTGACGAAGTTCCTCAACCAGACATACCTATTGGACTTCAAAAATGTAAACAGTTTGGTATACACAATGTAATTCTTGAGATTGATTTGGTTTATTATAAGATTGATTATGAAAAAATGAACATGGATGAGGTGTGCAAGTATTTAAAAGATAAGATTGACTGGATCCGATCTAATCTCTCAAAGGATTCTTTGATCCTGCTAAACTTCAGGGATTTCACTGCAACGATGTTACAACACCCTGAACGTGTCAGACATATTGTTAATTACCTGGCCAGTCTGCCCAAGAGAAAAAGGATCATGGGTGTAATATTTGAAGATCTTGGGGCAGGTATTCCAGAGCAGCTTGCAGCATGGACTCGTGCGGTCAAGAATGAGATGGAGAGATGTGGATGGAGTGACGGACAATTGCTGTTCCACCAACATGAGCAGTGGGGGTTAATGCATGCAGCTAATCTCGATGTACTTGCATCAGGTGCTACTGGGATGTGGGCGGGCCTGTGTATTGAAGGTGCTTCACTTGGACACGCCGATACCTGCACTGCCATACTAAATCTTATCAGACTTGGAAACAAGGCTGTACAGAAACAATACAACTGCAATTACCTCAGAGATGCGGCCATCAATGTCACCAAAGCGGTGACTGGTGGTGTAAAACCAAACCCTAAGCAACCAGTGTATGGTGACAGGGCAACCGATATGGTGTATGGATTTATATTTTCGGATCCCACTGCACAGGATGGATTTGACATGGCAGAATTCCTTGGAGTCAAGAGTGAAGTTAGAATTACAAACATGGCGAATGATGAGATGATCCTGTTAAAACTAGAGGATGTGTTTGGAGAAGACCCACAGTTCACACTGGAGATTGCTGGAAAAATGAAGGAACAGATGCTGAAAAATGCAGCAGACGGCAGAAAGGAAGAATACAACAGTAAGATAGGACTGGCCATGTTGTTCGACCAGGCTGGTGGGAAGATGACAAAAGAAATGGCGGATATTATTGCCGAAGCCAGTAAGTCATTGCCATTCATCAACACTTTGATAGATGAGATCAAAGTAGAGTGGGATGAGTGGGATGGAAGGCGATGCGAAGTGGTTGATGACCAGCTCACATTCGACCACTTCTACACCGGTTTCATGTCACCTTACTTTGGCTGCTACCGATGCAAGGACACTCAGCAAGGTTTGAGAGCTTTAGACATGGATGCTGATGGTATGATTGACTGGTTCGAGTTTAGGCACTTTCTGCTGTGGGCTGGTAGACAGCATCCTAATGTTAAGACTAGTAAGGAACTGCTTGACATTGCGTTTAGGGATGGTCTTATTCCTGCTATGAAGGATGAAATGGATAGAATTAATAAAATTTAAACTTTAAACAATTTAATAAGGTTGAATTCATACAATTTCAAATAAATGAATGTATAAAGTAAATTTATAGAAACATAACTAAGATCTTCAACTCTCTTCCACCGAATGTACTTTCAGTTTTCTCTTGCTCTGTTTTCAAATCTAACCGTTTGAGTTATCTTTTATCTAATTTTGTGTAATTTTTCCCGTGGCAAATTCTCTTTGTTGCAATATGTATTTTAAATCTCTTTATTTTCAAATATTATTGTTTTATGTTACTTTTAATTAATAATATTTTCCATTTTACTCCCCCACCCAATAACTCAGTGGACTTTTTTCTCATTTAAATTATTTTTCAACGTCTCTAAATGTGTTGTTTAATTGTCTAGATGAATTTATTATTTCAAGACTTTTGTTACTTTAAAGTATCAATATTAACTTTTATTTTCATTTTGTTAATTGTTATTTTAAATGTTTTCTTTAAATCATTAAAAAAAATGCTGATTATATATTTTTCTTTATTAATTTGTTACTTTTTGTCTTTATTGTATGTACTAATGGTCCTAATCCATCAGCTCTGTCTGGATGGACCACCCTCACAAAATATTTTTGAAATAAATAAATAAATAATTAAAAATAAAACACTTCAAACACAAGGTTTGAATACCATAAATTATATAAGAGAACCTTTGTGTGATGTTGAGTGTTCATTATATGATGCGTGTAATGTATGTAATCTGTAAAATTTAATATTTCAGGATTGGTAAAAGTTTTCTCTAATTAATAATTATTATTATATACATTTCATTTCGAGGTGTATAGACTTCGTTCTATTCAATTACACTGAGCATAAGATAGAACTTGTATTCTAAAAACATTTTAAAATGAATAAATCATATTATGCCAACCATAAAAATGCAGTAGTTTTTTTTCATTTGTATCATCATTATGGAATGATATATAGCCTAGAAACAAATTATTGCCGAAGAACAGATTTCGTTTTTCTATCATATCGCTTTTTTTTTAAATTTTGTTTATTTTTTGTTTTTAGTCTTTATCCCCGGTTGTTAATTGTTAGCACAACACATTTTTGTTTTACTTTTTTCTTTCTCTTGTCGAGTGACATGAAACAGTAAGGCTGAAAATCAATAAATGGTTATGAGCTATGCATTGGAAGGTATATTTTTGGAAATAAATCAAATCTTTAAAAAATATACCTTGATTTTGTGTCGGTCAGTCTTGGCCATACATTTTAATACTAATTAGAACCGTATTCCAGTCAGTATTATAAGTCAATGATGTAACCATCACTTGATATATTTTCCAAATCTCACAATTTGTAGTATCGTTGGAAAATCGGCCTTCGCTTGTGAAACATCGCACCCCCACCCCCAAACCCCGTCCAGAACAGGATTCCCCGCCCTTTAGATCCTTGCGTTACCACTGCATAATGTGTTAAAACAGTAGACCAACTAGTTTTGAGTTTCGTTCACTTTTGGTGTCGTTACACTCTGTATATCTTCATGATACTGGACTGATGGTTAAGGTAGGCAATTTTATGTAAAGTGTGTCACACCATGTGTGTGGTACGAACACATGTAGTTATAAAATATCTAATCAAATCTACTGTTGCACTTCACGTTTTATTTATTTATATTCAAAGTAAGAAATACCGGAATCACCGCCACGCTTAGGCAAAATAAGCAAAGATTGCGCCACGCTAAAAAAATGTGTACTACTACTTCAAAACGTTACAAAAATAAATACCGAAGTACCGAACTACAAGCAGTTCGACAATGCTCCTACCTCTCTTTCAAGCTCTCTTTTTCAATCGCATATCGTGAGGCATCCTTCAATACAGGCCCAACCGCAGGATCTCTTCGTACCCAGCCTGCGCGTGCACGTACTAGGTACCTGTGAATTAGGGGGAGGTCACTGATCGATGCTATAGGCTAGTATAGGCGCGGCTCCATACCGTAACGTAAGCGTGACGATCGCAGTATGCAATGAAATGTCCGTGTTTATGAACGGTAGATAGTACCGTATAAAAACTTGAGAGTAACCAGCATAACACAAGAAGGTACCGGCTATGGTTTTATATTTAGGTCAGCATGTAACATTGACTTAATTTCAATGTAGCCAACTCTTAGGTTACGGTCTTTATTTGGGGGATATAGTAGTATTGCTGGGGAAAATGCAGGGGCGCAGACTGCGATCGCACCCCCTTAAATTGTAGTTAGAAAAGTAATTGTTGTATTATAGGCCTATAATTTTTGATATGAATTACCGGTAAGATTTTAAAGGTATGAGGGTTCAATTTCCGGACACCTAGAGGTCCATATTCTCAAACTTTTCCCACCTCAGCCCTAACCACATGTTGGGGCTGAGGTGCTGTGAACTTTCATGCACCCACTACCGCCAAATCCTGCATCCGCCCCAGTGTTGAAGCATCTAGATCATAGTTCTGATCTTAGCTTATGACACGCAACGCAAAATAAACTAGTCGTTATAAAACACGCATGTATATGATAATATGTCATTTTAATAACGACGAATTGTACAACGTTACAGCAGTAAAACAGAGGTAGGGGCAGCCGCTCACAGATAGTCATGTAGTGCTGCCCCTAAGGGCTTATCTAACATAAGGACTTATTGTAAACCAAATAGCATACACATAATACATATGCATCCAAATGCATGCATTGACGTTCAGTTAAGCATACATGAACATTAAAATACTACGATAGAAATATTATACATAACTGTATGGTATGGAAACGTTGCTTAATCCATAGTGGAATAAAATATCCTTTATGATTTAACGAGGGAAGAGAGAAACGAAATTGATATATCCACATTGACTCTTTGCTTTCCACGTCCCATGGTCACCACCACTTTTTTTTTCTCTCTTTTGGCAAAAACCACCACATATTCATCAATATCATAAATCATAATTTAATGTATACATTTACAATTGATATAGGTCCTAAAGAAATTCTATTTCTTACATTTCCACCACCAGCTGATTGTTCACAGGATCGTGTCCCTACCTGCTATCCTAAAAACAATTTGGAAATGAACAACTGTTCCTGCAATTTACATGTGATGGATTGCATCTCAGAATACGGAAGTATTTTAGTTGGTTCCTATTATTTTAAAAACTATTTTTACACAAAATTAATAATAATCCCCACTTGTAAAGTGCTGTATAATAATATTAATAATGATAATAATTACAATAATAATAATAATAATAATAATAATAAATATAATAATAATAATGATAATAATAATAATAATAATAATAATAATAATAATAATAATAATAATAATAATAATAATTGAACACAACCGTAAACATGCACTCGAACATGATTACAAAATTGTAATAATAATTTTATAGCTCTATGACTATATCCTTTAACTGGAGATTGAACTAAGATAAGAGGATTTTGTTAGGAGTGTCCTAATTTTTATCAAATGAACACTAGTGTGTACACATATTTGTATAACAGATTTCATTTTGTAGGTATTAGTTTTGATTAATTGTTTCCGTTTCTTTATAATTCAAGTGTACATATTAGCATATTGTTTGCATTATTAACTAAATTAAAGGTATCGAGTAAATGTAATTTAAATTGTAGGACAAGGGTCTTCCGCGTCGCTTCTGACACCATAAGTAGTACCGTACCAGAAATGGTAACTCATAAAATGCACCGTTTAAAATTATGCGCACCACCCTTTAAACTTTGTGGACAATAATTTTCTGAAATTGTGGTATATATACTGTCTCTTATACACATCTAGATGTGTATAAGAGACAGCGCATAAGATATATTCAAATTAGTCTGGCCTGTTGAGCGTTGAGTGGAAGAACAATGCTTGTTGGAACAATTCATTTGTGCTAGATTATTAGAGTGAACAGCTGCCACAGTTAACAAATTGTTTTTACACTTTTGAACACAAGAATACTAAAATGCACTGCATTCAAGTACAGTAAGAAAACCATTATGCCAAAAAATTAAGCATATACTGTACACAATATTTCATCCATGCATGCATTCGGATCCATCGCACACACACCCCACAACATAACATTAAAATAAAGGCAATTGTTTAAAAAAATTAACAAAGTTTCAATTCTGAGTGCTTTCATTGATCTGGCATCCTCTATTGCCCTTATGCCAGAAAAAATGACGTTCTATATATCATCCATGGTGCAGATGGAATATAATTCTAGGTCTTAATATTGTTATCTACTAAAAATATCATCACTCTGAAAATTTAAAGTTTAACTCCTGTTTTTACATTTTATTGCTTGTATAATTTTTACTTCACAGTTAACTGTATATTCAAATGAAGTTTACATTGATTTTCTAATTACTTTTGTAAATTGAAGATTTTAAGGTAAACTTCTGTTTTATTTTGACTTTGCATGTAATGTTAAAATGAAGTTTCTACTTTGAAATTTTCATCTTACTTATGTACGTTGTACTTAAATTCTGAAACGAAAATTTCTTGTTTTACAATAATTAACATTTATTAATTGGATATTTTGTTACTTTTACCTAACTGAACCACTTTGGAAACCAGTACATTGTATTGAAAGTGTATTTCAGAATAAAGAAAGAATAAATAATATGTAAATAATTTTATTATGATCTGGCGTCCTCTATTGGCCTCATGCAAGAAAGGATGACATATTGTATATATATATATATATATATATATATATATATATAAATATATATATATATATGTATATATATACATATATATGAATATATATATGTATATATATCATATATAAATATATATCATATATATATTATGGTAATGATAATAACAGCATATGGCAATTGCATATAACTAGCTCTATCACAGTTTTTGTACAGGTCGGTTACTATTATATTAATATGTATGCTAAAAAGCTAAAATAATGGAAAATGGCAGCCATTTTAAAATGTAATAGCTCAAAAATGTGTACAATATTTAGTTAACTGTTGCTGTCATTGTTATGAGTGGATTTCCAATTGAATACTGCATTTTAATGACATAAATTTACAATATTAGTGACAATTTTATGAAAAAATGGCGGCCATTTTGAAACGGCTGGCAACCCCCCTTACGTATGAAAAAAAAAATGTTGCACATACTTTTTTGATTTATCTATGTCTACTCTACATCATATCCAATTTTTTAAAAATATAGCAAAAAAAAAATGCAACCAACCAAAGTTTGCTGGACTAATAATGTAGGCTTTAAAAGGTGTAATATTTTGATCACTATGGCGTTTAAGAATGAAAGAATTTTAGAAACTAGTAGACCTAGGTATAAATATCTCGGATGTACTGTCTCTCTGACTAAATACTCAAGTCCCTAAGAAAGGTAATCGGTTGATAGGGTACACACACTCATTAATAGATGGTCAGGACAACTATATCGATCGTGTATATTATGGTGATTTACTATGGATAACTTGCAATTACATCTTGCACTTACATCAATTAATTATGCATGTGCAGTATGGGCTGGAGGACCTAGCGACATTTTAGTTATCAGCCCACCATTGGTCTCCTGATGCAACATGCAAAATATGTTAAAAGGAGATTTGAATGAAATAAGATGTAGTGAATTTCCCATTTAGAAAACGATTTGCACGATAAAAATTAATCTTGAAGAAGTATGGCAATTGTTTATCTCAAGACATCTTGAAATCAAACTTTTAACGGCATTGGGTAACACTGATTTGTATACACATACTCATTCTGAACACAAATACACATTATACAATATACACAACTAGTACATCTTTTAGAATCCGGATTATATTGCGTCTATCACAGACCAAAGAATATACAAGGCGCTGGCGTCAGGATTTCCCTGGTCACTAGATACTAAGTTGGCAAACCAGCACA